TAGAGATGGGGTCTCACTATGTTCCCCAGGCTAGAGTTTTGGTTTTTCAAACAAAGTGAATGTGCTCACAGTTTCCTCGTGGAATTAAATACATTCTTTCCTTTTTAAGTTGAAGCTTTAGAGTCAGACTCCCCTTAGCTCAAATTCTCTCGCTGCCTTTTGGGCAGTCCCCTCTAATACTTAGCAGAATATCATTCCCCCCCCGATCTGTGAAGTTGGCAGTAATTATGCCTACTTCATAGGATTGCTTATTCACTACCTGATGTGGATTAAATAAAAGTGTTTAGCATAGTGTCTGGACCCCAAGCACTCGGGAAATGAGGCTGCTATTGGGTCTGAAGGAAGAAGGAACCTAAGAAGGGATTGGAGGGAAGGAGGGAACGTAGAGGGACCGGCCCTGCCTGGAGGTGAGGGAGACAGAGCCCTTTCTGGCAGCCCCCATTGCCACCCACCCAGCGGGAGTCCTTGCCCTGGACCCTCCCTCCCCAGTTCGCCCCACCCATTGAGGATGGTGTGACGGAGGAGGTGGTCTGCATGGTGAACCAATGGCTGCTCTCCCTGAGCCCACCATTCCTGCCTTCGGGAGGCTCAGCACAGCCACTGGGAGTGTGGCCACAGGAGGGATTGCAAAAACACAAACCTAAACTTTGGCCTCAGTAGAAGCAGACCTCACGCAGCAGCTGAGGCTGGGGAGCCTCCGGGCTTATAACCCAGCACCATGGTTCCTTCCCACTGTGTCTGAGAGAGCCAGACCCCCAGGCCTCAGTGTGTGCCCATGTGCCCTCTGTGCCAGGGCTATAGACCAACAAGGAGAACACATATAATCACCACTAACAGGGTGGTTGTTCCTCAAAGAAAAGCTTTAAAACCCTTCTGGGAACTTACCGAAGCCATCCTTCCGTCAAGATGCTGTCGTGTGTCTTGCTGACTCTGTGTCCAGCCTTAAATTAGGTCTGAGTTTCGTTTTCCCCATGGCCCAGCCCAAGCAAACAAGATCAAGGTTCATGTAAAAGGTTCCCTGTCTTCAAACAAGGGGCAGGGCACATATCAAGTAGGAAAAGAGGTGTGAAAATCAACCAGACACAAGAGAAATTAGAGCTGATGATATAGATGGAGGACTTGGTGGCAGTGTAGTCAGGGGCACAGTTGTTAATCACCAAGTTTCAGGTGGAACAAGCAACATCCAGTGGGTGCCGGGGCAAGGCAGGATGGAGAGATGGAGACCATGGGGAAAACATTTCAAAAAAGAGAGAGGAGCCCCAGAGAAACTGAGACTCATGCCTCCAAATTGAGAATGATCATTGCCGGGACGTGCAAACATTTCTACCAACCGCAAACCCTAGGCAAATGGCCCTAGGCAAGCCATATTACTGGAGGCACATTCCCGGACCCTGGAAACAGAGTGAGCCTGCTTGGACAGCAGTATAGAAAGAAACCACTCCAGGCCAGATGCAGTGGCTCATGCCTGTAATCCCAGCACTTTGGGAGGTTGAGGCGGGTGGATCACCTGAGGTCAGGAGTTCAAGATCAGTCTGGCCAACATGGGGAAGCCCCATCTCTACTAAAAATACAAAAATTAGCTGGACGTGGTGGTGCATGCCTGTAATCCCAGCCACTTGGGAGGCTGAGGCTGCAGAATACTTTGAACCCGGGAGGCGGAGGTTGCAGTGAGCTGAGATCGCCTCGCTGCACTCCAGATCGGGCGATGGAGCAAGACTCCGTCTCAAAAAAACAAAACCAAAAAAAAAACCACTCCCCTTTCTGCCTCTCACCCACAGTTCAGAAACACTCATTCTGTACCAAATGGAAAACAAAACCCATCACTGGATGTATAGAGGCTGCTTCTTTGAGGCACCTGCATGCTTATCTCCCCAACCTCCAAATAAGTTTATCTTCTGACATCGACATATAGCTGTTGGGTCCTGAGCAAACTGGACAGGAAGGAGTGGGTGGGGCTGGGGCGAGCTGAGCATCCTCACTGTGGAGCATGGGGGGCAGGAAAGCAAGGACCAGCAACTTACCTTCTTCAGGCTATAAACAAACAAACAAAGAGCTTTAGTGTGGGGACGCAGATGGACTGGAGCCCCAACTGGAAAACTCTTTGGGAGCCAGAGCAGCTCCGCATGACTAGCTGCTCTCTCAGCCCACACGGTCTTGCTCCCATGGTGCCTCTCTCAGCACCTCCACTCCATTCTCCTCTGAGTTTCAGTGAGACAATCTCCAAAGCATTCCTCCTGGAGGGAGAGAGTGGGGCTGGCTTAGCTAATTTTCTCCTCTGGGCTAGTCCCCACTGGGGCTTCCCAATCATCTTTTGAGTGGCTGACCTCCAGCCTGGCAACCTCAGTTCGTCCTCTGCATGCCCTGCCCTTGCATCAGTATCACACCGTTTCCCTGGGCAGGAGGACTTCCACGTGCTGTCTGCTGACGGGATCTCAGGTGGGTTGGCACAATGACCAAGCAGACCGTGCAGGGTGGAGTGGGAAGGAACATCGCTGTTCTCGTGCTGGGACTTGTGGCTTTTCACCAAATCCAAGCTGTTCAGAATGTCAGAAAATCAGTTCCAGGAGCCACAGGAAAGGAGAGTCTGCAAATCAAGGGCTGGTGGACTCAGAATTCTGCTGTCTCCCTACTGTCCACGCTGAGCAGGAAAGGTGTCAAAGTTCTTTGACAGAGAACAGGGCAGGCCAGATCACACACCCAGCCTGCGGGTGAGCTCTAGGGCTACAGCCTGGAATACTTTCATTTTTGTTCACACATACTGTTTACATATTTTTTAATTTTATAAAAGACTGTGAAAGGAAAGATAAGCCTCCATTCTCCCCACCTCCAGCCCCCAGCCATCCAGTTCCCCTTTCTAGAAGCAATGTTATCTTTCTGTGTATATGCCAGGAATATCTTGGACTACATATAATTTTAATGGGCTTTGGTGATGTTGGAAATAGATGCTCAGTGCCGCAAAGAAAAATCAGCACTGAGACAAAGGATCTTTCAGCAATGCACTTTTTACTTCCTGGACTGCAGGAAGGGTACCCTCACTAGCCATTGTGCTACAAGAGTACAATGAACAAAAGAAAACACATAAATTTTTCCCTTATGCATTTGGGGTCGTCCTTACAGCTGTGTCTGATCTCAGTTGGCTGGAGCCAGACCTCACAGTCAAAGCTAAAACCTGATTGGCTAACAACTTAAAACTTTTCTAAACAGGTAAAAGCAGTGGCGAGCTGGGCCATGCCTGTGAGCACGTCCAGCACAGGTATCTTGGTTACAGTACAAGGACACAGAATGTACTATGTGGCTGTAGGCATGGCATGTCTGACAGCTACATAGGATAAGGCTTAACAAAGCTATTAGCACACATTCTTTAACAAGAAAGGAAACTTTAAAAAGGAACTTTTCTACTTCCCACAATTCCCTCCTCTTTTACTTTATA